TTTTTTTAAAAAAAAAACTGTCTCATTTATTTTCAAATGTTCTTGTTGTAGATACTGCCAATTAACTAGTCCACTATCCATCCCAACAACCGTCCTTTATATCAGCCTCTATCACAGAGGCTGGAGAAAAAGCACCTCCTTCCCAGCTTCTGCCACAACAGGGGTAGCCATGGGACTCCATTCTGGTCAGTGTGTTATAAGCAGAAATCTGCCGGCACTGTGTCTTCCACTTCCTCCCTCTTCCTGCCTGGAACACAGAGGATTCTTGGAGATGCCACAGCCATCACTAAAATGTCATTAAGTCACAGTACCAGACCCAGATGATCTGTTACTGTACCTCTTGTTCCGTGAGACTAACAACCCCCCTTGTATTTGGTTAAAACAATGTAGGTGAGTTTCTGTGTAACCCTAATTAAGGCCAGTATCTGCTAGTTTCCAGCCATTCTTCTAAGGACTAAAGATCCTGCAGTTATATTTCACTGTGGGCCAATCTGTTGCCTAAATTTGTTTCTGTTTTCTAACAATAAAATATAGGAGATAATGTCTTTCCACAGCCCAACAACGTAAGGGCTTCTACCTCGACTGAGATTACCACAATGCTGAAATCCTCTGTGTTAAATGTTCCCTGTGACCAAAGCAATGATAACCTCTACCTGAATACACACGTGGGTTCTGGTGTTTCATATATCTCTTTAGACTACGTGCTCTTGACATTGCATAAAAGGATACAGAGGAAAACAGCCCTATCGAGGACTGCCTCAGAAGGAGGATTCTACAATGCAATTCTTAGATAGCTGAGAAAAATTAAGGGACTGCAGAAAGTTTCAGCTGAAAAAGAAGTAACAATAAAGTCAAACATATTCATCAAGGTGTGTTGAATAAATGGGATGTGGTTCAGAGCAACACTTTTGAAAAGGAAGGAGTAGAAGCTGTGTGTGTGTATATGTGTGTGTGTGTGTGTGTGTGTGTGAGAGAGAGAATGCTTTGAGAGAACTACTGAGGCACATGCAAAAGAAAGAACAAAAAGGCAGGGAAAGAAGGGAAGAAAGAACAAAAAAAGGAAAGGTAGGAGAAAAGGGAGGTTGATGGGAGAAAGAAATTAATAGGAGAGGAAAGCCAGCCAACAGAGCAAAGGAAAGGTGAGAAAACAATCCCCATGGACAGGATACCCACTGTGGTAGACAGTGCTTTCCTGGACCTCTCTCATCACATCCTCACCACCACTCCAAAGAGGGAGATGCCATTATCTCTATTCTGAGGTAAGGAGGCAGCCTTAGAGAGGGGAATCAACTTGCTCATGGTCTCATGGTGGCTAAATGACCCATATGGGATCCAAAGCCCAGGAATTCTATAGAACTCTGCACTCTATGCAATCCCTGTAAGGACACTGACCAAGGAGCTCTGAAAATGGGTTAGTTTATTAAGTGAATCTTTACTAAGCACCTACAGAATGTCCTGGAGGTACACCATTGGGAGAAAAAAATAAATCCTCTGCTTTCTTGAGCTGAAATCTAGAAAGGGGAGACAATTTAATAGTTACGATGATGCTAATAGCTATGGAAAAAATTAAGCCGGGTAGGGGATACAGAATGTACCCAGGTTTTGGGTGAAGATTATTCTTTATATAGGGAAATTGGGAAGAGTTCAATGATAAGTCAGAACTTGAACAGAAATCTAATATAAACAAAGGAAGTGAGCTATGAGGCCATCCTGGGAAAAAAATTCTAGGGAGGCACAATAGCAAGAGAAAAAGCCCTGGGGCTTTTAACAGCTTGGGTCAACAGAGTAGCAGGAAAATAGAAACGTACCTGCACATGTATACATGTATATGTATAACTGAATCACTTTGCTGAACACCCGAAACTAACACAACATTGTTAATCAACTATATTCCATTATAAAATAAAAATTAAAAGAAACCAAAATCACAAAAAATAGTTTCTATACACAGTTAGTTAGGATAAGGCTTCTATGATATTCCATTCTATGAAATGTCTACATTAAATTTGTTAAGAAAATAAAACTATAATAGTAATTTACACTCAACGTGTGTGGTCAGTTCAGTTACAGCTAGTTAGTGGTGAAAGCATTATCAGGAAATACTATAAAATGTATAAAGTATATAAAATGCTCCAAGAACAGCTGAGTTGGAAAGAGAATGGGTCAGAGAAGTTATTACAAAAAAATGTTTGCATGAGTCTTGAAGAATACCTGCTAGTGAATCAGGTTCTGTTGCCTCTAGAATAAACTACAGAGAAGAAATAACAAGCAGAGTTATCCACTAGAATCTGAGGCAGAAAAAAAGCTCCTTGGTATTGGGTCAGGTCATATTTTGTGTTTTTGTTCCATTTCCTACTTGAAGGGTTTCCATATTGTGATGAATCTGTGCGTGGCTGTAATGGGGGCTTCCATCTGTGATCCTGGAAGAGACAGGTCCTGGAGCATAAGCCTGGTTGGTCACTCATTGCCTTGGGAGGAAACTCAATTCAAACCCTGGGCAGAAGGACATCCATATAGCACAACAGATAATCTCCTCAAGACCAGCTGCTCTTTGTTGTTTGGACATGGAATAGGACCCAAATTACAGAATTTGGGACCAGCTCTGTCCTGGGTGTCACATACTGTTTTCCTTCCTGGCAAGAACAATTGATGTAGCCTTTTCTGTAACAGTCGTGCCAATATGACACAATAGAAGAACGGGCCCATCGAATGTGAACCAGGGTTTTTGGTGACTACAGAAAAGCCCTTGTTGAAATTAACTCTTGTTAATTAGAATCAAATTCCAAGAAGCTTACCTTCTGATTTCCATGCATTTCCTGTTTCTCCCTATGCCTCTCTCTCCCAGACCCATGACTCTACCAGATACCATTTCCCAGAAGTTAGCTTCCTGAGAGGAGAAGCACATGGGATTCTTCTCTGCATCCCAACTGCTTAGCAGAAAGTTGGGCACATAACAGCTACTCAGTATGTTTATAGAAGAGAATTGAAACATGTTTTGAGGGTCAAATCAGCCTGAGTTTGGTTGGTTTTGTTAAAAGATAAATGATAGACATTTCACAGGATCCCAGCTACTACTCTGTTTTTGGGAATTAAAAAAAATAGGAAAAAATGATGGGCATTTTGGGGGGAATTCAAAGAAGAAGAAGACGTGATTCTAGGAAGAGCACTTCACAATCTACAGGGAGAGTCAAAACAGAAGCATATGAGGATGCA